GAGAGTGTGGCTGAGACTCACAAGCCATGCACGCCCACCTGGAGGAGGGCCACTGCACAGAGCCGATGGGGGGGGCGGGCAGGGGGCTCTTCCCTACCTGGGGAAATCATTAACACGCCCTAGCCTTGACTCAGCCAATCAGCCTGGCCCCAGTGCCGCAGCCCCTCTGGTGGCGGCTACCACCGTGGTTGCTTGGGGGTGGGGGTGGGGGGGCACAGACCCTGCTTTAGGGAAGCTGACACACGGGGGGGTTATGGGGAGAAGAGGGGCAAGAGGGCAGCCCCCCATGCCTCAACCACCTGCCTTTGGCCCGTGCGCCGGAAGTATCTGGAGAGGGGCTCACCCCCACCGCCAGCAGCTCTGCTCCCCTCTGTTGGCGAAGCCCACCAGCGAGGCCAGCAGGAGAGACTGGGCCGCCCCTGGAGGGGGGCTCCGGAGCAGCCCTCCAGCCGGGGGGGGGCTGAGGTGCTTTGGCTGGATGGGCGGAAGGAGGGGGCCTGGCCTTAAGGCCACGAGCTTGCCACCCCTGGCTCCCCAGCAGCCCAAGAGGCACCCGGCTAGTGGCCGGGGGGGGTGGTGCAGACTCTGAGCCCGACCCTCCTCCTCGGAGCCTCCCAGCGCTTACCCCTCTCCCCCCACCCACCCATTCCCCAACAGCTCTGCAGGAACACAACGATGGCAACTGGTGATCAGCAGATATTTTCAAGTTCTTAAAGCTAATGAATCCAGACTCGGTTAGCCATCTTCATCCTGTGGAGAAGGCAGGGGAAATGGGTAGGCAGGGCTAAGCTCCCTGGCCGCTATAAGGGTGCTTCTTGTTTTCTTAGATGCTTCCTGTGCAGAGCCTAAAAGAGAAAGACTACCAGGCCCATCATCTCTTGCCACTTCCACAAAGCTTATTGCCACCGACTCATTTCCGCTGTCTTCTCCAAAGGGCAAAAAATGGCTGCCAGAGCCTGAAGTCAAGAATTAACCTCTGTTCGGATTTTGATTTCTTGACTAACACCCCTGGAAGTCTGGCTGGGCAAAGTCCCACAAGGGCCTTCAAGGGCTTAAGGTCCCCGACGTCCTAAAGTCCCGGCCCTTCGTCACCAGCACCCACCAATGCGGCCTGAGTCCTGGCCGGCCAACCAAGCAAAACAAAAAACTGGTGGGGAAAGGTGCCAGGCGGACCCTGCATCTCCCACCCACCCCCAATACAGAAAAGAGGGCAGGTGGCCCTACACCCCTGTAAGGGGTCTCCTCTGCTTTCCGGAAACAGACACCACGTCACCCTTTCCCTAGACTGTGGCCGACGCATCGAGTCTGTGCTAAGCCTCCTGCACGCCTTCCTCCCTGACAAAGCGGGTGATGGGGGAGAAAAGGCGCTGGGGATTTTTCACTGTACCCCCCAAAATGACACAGAGACGGACGCAGACGAAAGAGAGCAAATGGCAGCGGTCCACCTGGGAAAACACAACCCCCCCCCCTCTGGTCGAAGCAGGGCGCTCCCTCCCGCCCACCAGCCATGCGGCACCTTGAAAATGCTTCCTCTCCTCAGCAAGCACAGCAGTGCCCTCGCTCGCTCATTTGCACGCTTGCTCCCCCCCCTGCATCCCCGCCACCCCAACCCATGCCAAGCCCGGCCCCTTCCGGCCCCACGGCGGCTTCTGGTGTGCTGAGCGAGGCCAGGAAGGGGCCGAGGCGCCCAGGCCGTGGAGCTCCAGGTAGAGAGAGGAAAAGGTCCAGAAGAGAAAGGAGAGGGAGCCTGGCCAGCCTGGCCATCTTGCAGACACCGACACAGCCGGGGGGGGGGAGAGAGAAGGGGGGGAGAGAGAGACCTGCTCCCCTGCCCGCCTCCAGCCTCCTTCCTGTCCCAGGATGGAAAGACTGACCGAGCAGCAGCGGCCAAGTCGGGTTCCAGGCCAGCAGGAGGCTCTAAAAATAGCCAGGCTGGGCTCCGTGTCGCTTCCCCCTCCCCATACTCTCCGCAGGAAAAAAAGGCCAGCCCCCTGCCCACGCCGCCAAGCCCTGGGCCCAGGCGAAGCCAACCCACCGTCAGCAGAGCGCGGGCCCGCCTGGCGCCCCGGCAGAGAGCCGGGCAGACTCTGTGACACCTCACCTCGTGTCCAGCCAGGTGGCTTTGCCGGCCTCCCCTCGCCTGGCCTGGCGGCTGACCGGGTGCGGTGACCTCACTGCCGCCCAGTGGTCTGCCCGGGCTCGGCTTGCCCCCCCACCTCCATTCCTGCCCGCTCCGTGGCACCCAAATCTGAAGGCGAGTGGGTGGGCGGGGGCCCTCCCGCGAGGGGAGAGGAAGGAGCTGCTTCACAGCACGACTCTCGCCCACGCGCCCAAAACCACGCTGCCTCGGCCTGCCAACCACGGCCTGCCCAGGAGGGAGGCGAGAAGCCTTCCNAGGAAGCTCCGGAGCTCCAAGGCCCAGGCGGCCACCCGAGGTTGGGCTGGTCCCTGAAAGGCCCCAAGCGCGCACGTGCGCACAGCTCACTCTCTCGCTCCTCTCTCGCTCTCTTCACAGAGACAGCGCCACACGCGAGGCAGCAGCCCAGCCTAAAGCCAGAGAGAGCTCCTCAGGAAGCTCCGGAGCTCCAAGGCCCAGGCGGCCACCCGAGGTTGGGCTGGTCCCTGAAAGGCCCCAAGCGCGCACGTGCGCACAGCTCACTCTCTCGCTCCTCTCTCGCTCTCTTCACAGAGACAGCGCCACACGCGAGGCAGCAGCCCAGCCTAAAGCCAGAGAGAGCTCCTCGGCCCAGAGGGGGTGGCCGCCCTCCTCCCGGGAGCCCCATCTGACCCCTCTCCCTTGGAGCCACAGGGGCCGGCTTCTTCCCAGGGCCCTTCGGGAACAAGAACTGCCCGGTCCACGGGAGAGGCGTTGGCCGCCCTGCTGCTGTGCTTCCCTCCCGCATCAGCTGCGCTGGGCGACGGAAGGGCACCCACACACCCCACGCCCACCACTTCTGCTGGCTCTCTGAGTGACAACCCCGCCTGCGTTCTCCTCCCGGGGGCAAACTCTCCCGGCGGAGGTGGGTGGGTGGGTGGCAATGGCCTTTCTACAAACAGAAGCTCACTCTGTCCTTCCCGCCCATTCCGCCCACAGCAACAGTGCTCACGTCCAGGGAAAACGCCAACCGCTCGCCTCCCCCAGCCACTGCAGCGCCCGGCAAACTCCGCCAGGAGAAGGACCCAGAGGGGATGAGAAACCACAGGGGGTGGGTCGCACATGGCCCACACGTGTCGTTTCCCCCCCCCAAAAAAAAAACATCACCCACCCGCTCTACTAATCGCATCTTTCCTCCCTTGATTCGGAACAGACAGGAAGGTAACCGGGCTGCGACGCAGTTCTGTGGGTCGCAGTTCTGTGGGTCACTTGCCAGCCCTGGGAGACAGAGGCTGGCCTTACGGGAGGAAAAGGTCACCTTTTCCCCTTCTGAGGTTGAGCAACTCTTTTCGCATCTGGGTCTTTCTGGGAAGATTACCAACCAGAGGCGGTGAGGTAAATGTCCCAGATCTGCAACCCTGATTTGAACCAAGTCAGGCAACTCCCCGGGTCGGGAGGGGGGGGAACGGAACGGACCCACTCCCCTCGGACCCACTCCCCTTGGCTGCCCCTGCTAATGGACCCTCACGCTCATCTGCTGATGCAGCCACAGCTAATCCGTGGTTGTGGCG